CCTCCAGCCACTGCCACTGTCCCCACCCCGCAGGCACGGACTGAGCCCCCCCCCCAGCACCGTGGGGACCCTCTGACAACAGAGCAATGGGGGGGCCCCACGATAAATAAACAGCAGGATTTGTTCGGGTAGACCCCACCATAACAAACCACTGGGATGATCTTCAGGGAGACTCTACAACAAATAAGCACCAGGATCTCATTCGGGGAGACCTGACAATAAAAAACCTGCAGGATGAGCTCTGGGGAGACCCTACAATAAATACACACCCAGATCTGCTTTGGAGAGACCCTACAATAACAAACGTGCCAGACCTTCTTTGGAAAAACTGCACAAGAACAGAAGAGCAGGACCCACCCAAGGGAGACCCTGTAATAAACACCAGGAGCTCTTTGGGGAGACCCTACAATAACAAACCAGCAGGACCCACTTCAGGGAGACCCTACAATAAATCAGCACCAGTACATGATCCAGGGAGACCCTACAATAACAGAGCAGCAAGACGAGTTCCAGGGAGACCTTACAATAATGAACATGCTGGACCCACTCTGGGGAGACCCTACAATAAATAAGCATCAAGACTTGTTTGGGAAGGCTCTACAATCACAAACCAGGAGGAGGAACTTCAGAGACACCCTACAATAAATAAATAACCAGGATCTGTTTTAGGGAGACCCTATAATAACAAAAGCTCCAGAATCTGCTTTGTAGACACACTAGAAAAACAAATCAGCCGGATGAGCTCTGGGGACACTCTACAATAAATAAACACCACGACTCATTTGAAGAGACCCTACAATAACAAACATGCTGGACCCCCTCCGGGGAGACCCTACACAATAAAAGCAGCGGGATGATCTCCAGGAAGACCCTACAATCAACAAACACTGGGATGTGTTTGGGGAAACCCCACAATGACAAATAAGGGGGACTGATTTGGGGTAGACCCCACAATAACAAACCCATGGGATCTACTTCAGAGAGACCCTACAATAGATAACCACCAGGATTTATTTGGAGAGACCCTACAATAACAAACCAGCAGGATGATCTTCATGGAGACCCTACAATAACAAACGTGCTGGACCCACTCGGGGGAGACCCTACAATAAATAAACACAAGGAATTGTTTGTGGACAGCCTATGATAACAGAGAAACTACAATAAATAAGCTCTACAATCTGTTTTTCAGAGACCCTATAATAACAAACCAATAAGTTCAGCTCCAGGAAGACCCTACAATAAATGAGCACCAGGACCTGGTTTGGGGAGACCCTACAATAACAAAACAATGGGGCAATCTTCAGGAAGACTTTACAATAGCAAACGTATTGGGGAGACACTACAATAACAGAGCAGCAGGGTGACCCCTGGGGAGACCCCACGATAAATAAGCACCAGGATCAGCTTTGGGGAGACCCTACAATAACAAGTGAGCCAAACCCCTCTGGGGAGATCCTGTGATATGTAAACCCCAAGAATTGTTTGGGGAGACCCTATAGTAACAAACCAGTGGGATTTGCTCAGAGTAGACCCTACAATAACAAAGAGATCTTATGATAAATAAGCACCAGAATCTGCTTTGGGGAGACCCTACAATAACAAACCAGCAAGGTGATCTTCAGGGAGACCCTACAATAGCAAATGGATCCTACAATAAAAAAACCACCAAAACCTAGTTAAGGTAGGTCCTACAGTAATAACTCCTTGTGTCTTCTCTTGAGAAACCCTACAATACCAAAGCAGTAGGATGGTCTCTGTGAAGACCCTACAATAACAAATGTGCCAGATCCTCCAGAGAGACCCTATGACAAATTAGCACTGGGACTTGCCTTGGGGAGACCCTACAATAACAAACCAGCAGGACCTTTCCAGGGAGACCCTACAATTAATAAACACTAGCATCTAGTTCTGGGAGACCCTACAATAACAAACCAATGATATGATCTCTGGGAAGACCCTACAACAACAAACATGACGGACCCACTTTGGGGAGACCCTACAGTAGATAAACACCATGACTTGCTTGGAGACACCCTACAATAATGAATCAGCAAGACCCACTTCAGGGAGACCTGATGATAACAAATGAGCTGGACACTTTTTAGGGAGGCCCTACAATAAATAAACACCAGAACCTGCTTTGGGGTAAACCCTACAATAACCCCCTGCCATGCCTCGCTGCTGGGAGACCCTACAATAACAGAGCAGGGGGGTGATCTCCAGGGAGACCCTATGATAACACCCCCTTCCTTGCTCCCAGGAGACCCTACAGGTCCTGATTCAGGGAGCCCCAACCACAACAGACCCCCCCTCCCAACGCACTCTGGGGAGACCCTACAATAACACACCAGTGGCACCCACCCTGGGGACACCCCACGTTGGCCACAGGTGGCACCAACCTGGGCCAGGGGCAGGAGGGGGCTGTGGCCCCCCAGAGGGGTCCCTGGGGACATCAGGGAGGGGACCCCAGGGAGGGTCCCTGGGCAAACAATGGCACCGGGGAGGGGACGGAGGGGGTGGGGGGACATGGCAGCACGGCCACCGACACAGGGACACCCTGGCAGGGGACTCTGAGGGGGATGACACACGGGGGTCCCCAGGAGCCCCCCCGGATGTCCCCCTGCCCCAGTGTCCCCAGCAGTGACAGACACCGGAGCCTCGCAGCACCTTTATTGACACCGGCGGGGGTGGCATCGGTCCCTGGGGGGG